ATTCCTCGACTCAACAAAACTTTTTTCTAATGTTTTTGAGGTGGGTTATATGAATTATATTTTGTCATTGAGCTCTATGAAGGATTATGTTTGTCATTTCTACTTTTACCTTGTTGGTGTCGAGCATTATAAACCAAACATGCCAAACCTCTTTCAAGAGAAAAACAGTTTGTTTTCAAACAACCCAATAACATAACTATGCTCTCTCTCTCTCTGAAAACAAAATGAAAGAATCATGCAACATATGTTTCTAGTGACTCACCTACAAAAAACACTCAATAGAAACATATGTTTCTAAATTCTAGTGGCCCATGTGGAGATGTGCGGTGCCATCTTCTACACGCAATATCTACTGGAATTTCAAATTTGTAGGGCGACCTCTAGGAGTTGAAATTCAACCAAAAAAGAAAAAAAGTGGTTGTTGACAAAAAGACACATTTCAAACCTCATTCTTATCCGTTGAATCCAAGAATAAAAGAATGATTTAAGGTTGAAATTTTAGATTGTAACAACAAAATCACTAAAGAAAATCAAAGATTGTGGTAGTAGTATTAGTTGGTTGGTGTCACCATAGGCATGATTTTGTGTATTGTTCTTTATATATATATATATATATATATATATATATATATATATATATATATATATATATAATAATGCCGAAAAGATAGACATGTTCATATGAATTTTGATAGGCATTCTTCATTTTGGCTTGGCTTGGCTTGTCAAACTGTTACATCATTTGCCTTTCACCAATTTTGCTTTTCCGTAATATTGTTTAGACTTAAATATTTAAATTTATTTATTGATTTAATGATATAATTTTATTGTTGTTAGATTAACACCAAATTTTAATATTTGATGGGGTTCAGAGCTAATTCAAAGGAGATATTGAATAAGGTCAACAAATTTGATCAATAAATTAAGTCTAAATAACATTTTTTTTATCTATAGCAAACATCGTCACACTATGTTATTTAAAGGGTTAAAGGAGTATTATTCAGTTTAGTTCTCGTTGAGGGTATAAAATAAAGAAATTAAGTACATAATTAATTTTTGGTATTATTTTTTTTGTACTAGATGATTGTCCACAATAAAATTTTTGGTTGTAATTATTAAATTTATTTTTTAAATCTATATAACGTTGCTCTGAGTCAATATGATTTCATTCAGTTCCCTCAAAACCAGATAACGTTTTTAAAAAAGATATAACTATAAGATAAATTTTATTAATCCACCTCTATAGAAAGAAGAAGAGATGGTCATGCCAATATGAGATTCGACCCTAACTCGAGTCTCGAGGCCGTGGGTACGCCACGGTCTCATATGAGCTTTTAAACTTAACAAGAATAAGTTTTAAGGGGAAATGTATTTTTCCTATTCCTATGACTGGAACTTTGCTTTTCCTTAAGGTTGAAGTTTCACATGTGATTTGAGAACTTGGGTCAGATACATTTTTGAAATGTTATAGTCATCAAGTTGCTGCTGAGTTGTGTTATCATGCCAACACTTTCTTTTATTCTTTTTTGGGTTGACAAGAAGATTATCCACCACCCAGTGCATTCTACGTTGGATGGAGTCAACTTCTCCAAAGTGGCACGTGGTCTGTCTGGATATAAAGTTTAGGATCGATAACAAAATCAAAAAATTATTTTTCGATATCATATTTTTATTAGTTCAATAAAAATGTGACAAGTGTAATTTTTTTATCATTGAAACCTAGTAGTTGCAAAATAATATCTTTTTTATGATCAGGTTAATTAAAAGTTGGGAATAAAAGATTTGATCATTATACCGAAATTAAAAACAAAGGCGCGCAAGCCATCATGTTGAAAAGCAAAATGAGAAGACCCGAGATCTTCAATCTTCTGAGTGATAACATACATCAAATGCTTATAAATTTCCATAGTAATAGAACTTGACTCAGAAAAAAACAACAAAAATAAAATAAAAAATACAGCACCCTAGAAGCAACTCTATGAGATCCATGATCCTCCAAAGGTGGAGTAGATGAGGTAGTAACATTAGATTGCTGTCGTATCCAACATTTATAAATAATGTGGCCATTTTCATTATACATTATTTTTGTTTTACAATCAATGGTTACAAATATATCAGAACAAATCGTATGACTGTTGATCAAATTTGATATGATATCAATTTTTTTTTTGTGGGTGTCAAAGTCTTATCTGAAAAATTGACAAGAACCCTTAAACAATTTTTCTTACCTATTTCTATTAATATGACACAATCCTAATCAATAAATGATTTCTAGGATCCAATAAAACCCATTACTTTCAGTCCATAGAAAGTTGATACAAAAAAGTTGGTAATTTTCTTTCTTTGAAATAAAAAAAGTAGAGTTGAATATGCATACAAAAGTTGCAAAAGAACCAATGATCTAATTCTAAGAAAGAGTGGATGACCCCAAAGGAACCTATTTTTTTTTTTCCTTATAGATAGTATAATACAAACTTTTTGTTCTAAAGAAAACTGCAAGCCTTTTCTTATATGGTCAAAATGAGAATGAGAGGTCACATAATGGGGTAGACTTGTACCCCTACCCATAACTTTATCCAATGGCACTCCTTTAGACCCTACTTTGATTTTTATAATGGAGAATCGACCGTATCAATCACATATTATTTAAAATTTATGGTTATTAAGGCACTCCTTTAGACCCTACTTTGATTTTTATAACGGAGAATCGACCATATCAATCACATATTATTTAAATTTATGGTTATTAAATAAATTTATAATATACATAATTGTCTGGAGACCACACGTATTTGATGAATGTCAGTGTTAAGGGAAGGGGTATGCAATGGTTCCAGGTCGAGCCCGAGTAAGTAACGTCTTCAACCATCTGGGCTATGATTGAGGATAACTCGATTTTTAAACAATATTGAACAGTTTTTTATTATTTAAAAAATTGGATATTTCATCTTGCAATTTTGTTTATAATAAAAAAATTTTATACTGAAAAAGTCTAGGACCACTTTAGCAGTGTGAAAAGAATTATTTTCAACTTCTGGTATATATAATCACATATAGACCACGTGTATCTGGTCGATGTAGTTGCTGCGAAAAAGAGATTGTGTTATGTAGTGGTCCCAGGTTGGGCCCGGGAGGCAAAGTTATTGGCCTCCCGAGCTTGGAGTTCAAGATAATTCGATTTCTATACAAATTGATTAAAAGATCGAATATTTCATCCTACAATTCTAATTATGATAAAAATAAATAAAAATAAAAAAAAGAGTCGAGGACCACTTTATCAATTATATGTGGTACATACACAACCTCAGTGAGGTCCCCCACTGTCCCGAGCAACATAAACAAATTTACAAGAAATAAAAAAAATGCTACCCAAATATATAATGGAAAGCTTAGACTGCAGATTTAAGGTTGCTAAGGCCCCAAAATATTTCAACTATGCACAGACTATGTTGGAATCGTACAAGTGAGGACCCTTTGAATGGCCGAGAACGATGACATCAACTAAGTAATGTTGTTTAAGCGGTGACAGAGATGAGCTGTAAATTTAAATGTCTTGAATTTGAATTTTGATAATTTCTTGAGGTCAAGCTACGAGGGATTTATTATTCATGAATCTCCTAATCCCGATATGGATAGCCTACCTTTGACTGAATTAGGGAGAGAATTAGTCGAGGTGCGCATAAGTTAAACTGGACACACTTGATCGTTGAATCAAAAAACAAAAGATGAAATCAACTGCCCTTAAGATTGGTAATGGGTCATGTGTTCGTTAAGACCTCACCCAAAACCCGCTTAACTTTGTGCTAATTCGTCTCGTATTGCATTTTGACAAGCTTAATCGTGATACAAACCGACTTCTTATTGTGTTTTGTTTTTCTTTTCAATTCACATTCGGTTTATTTAAAATTATGTAATTTTGGATTTATGACTTGCATCATTATTCATATATAATCGGGTTCTTATAATGCATGGTGGATTTTGTGTAAACAGTTTACCGATATAATAAGTAGGTTTAGCCAATCAACTTGGCTACCTAAGGCTAACAATTTTGTATCAAAATAATGGATCATATTAAGAATTAATATTTTATAGTACAATATAGACTAAATATTTCAACTATTACACCTTAGATGGGTACCTTAAACAATGAAGAGACATAAACAAAAAAACAACAAATCACAAAGGGTATACCAGCTGAAAAAACAAAGAAAATAAGACAAAATCTATGAAAATTATTTTCAGATAATCCTGTAGCGATAGAGTGATATAAATCCCAAGTGACCATGACTAAAAATATCAAAATATGACACAATTCGTTAATATAACACAAAATTAAAGAATTTGAATCTTTTTTAAACTACCCGTTTTATAAATGAATGAACCCAACATAACATAATTAATAAACAAATATGATATGGGTAAAGCTAATTAAAAAAATATACAACACGACTCGTTTATATACAAGTTATATATGATTGATACATGACATGAACTCAATATAACCTAACTCATTAGACACAAAATATTAAATGAATTGAGTATGAATAGAGTATTTTTTAACACATTCGCTCCACCCCACCCGACATGATTGACATACCTAACCATGACCCAAAGAAGACATCCAACACAAGCTATCATGTCTGGTCATACCGAAAACTCTTCATTCTTTCAAGGCTATTAAACTCTAACTATGAAGCCAAAAAAATCAATTTTTATTTTTTTACAAGGCTGATGACATATAACAACAGAACCTCAAGGACACTAAGCTAATAAAATTTTTAAAACCCAAATGATTAATAAATACCCAATCTCTCTGTTACTACTATTGTTTGCCTTGCAGACATTCAGATACACAAACTTTACAACAATATCATGCAACCAATCTGATTGCTTCATCTTTCTCCTCGCTTCTTGAGAAAACCCATGCATCTACTATTCTTTGCCACGGCGTGGATGGGGAGCCCAATATCCAGAAGAATCTTCAGATCATTTGAGGTGTTTCAGTTTCCAGCCGCCGCCTCATTTCTCAACTGCTGATCTCCAATTGGGGGAAGGAGAAGAGCAAGCCTAGTTTTGTACCTTTCAATTCTCTGCAGCCTTTCTTCTCTTAATCTGCAAAAAAATTGAAATGTATGCACTAAAATCAGTTCATGGAAAGAATCCATTCAAGAATTCTATTTCCAGGTAGAAATTCATCCAGTCACAATGGGAAAGCATAAGAGAATCCTCATACATCTAACAAGACCAAAAGACTGCGAAAAAAATGATGTTGCATTCACAAAAATGTCACGAGGACTTGACCAGATGATCCAGGATTTATTCTCAAAGTACTGAAATATACACGAAAAGCTGAGATTCTGTTTGCTTAACGAAATAAAACAAAATTAAAATTAAAAAGAAACCATTGATGCCTACCAAGCCAACTATGCTTTACGTGACCCAATATTGGACACTACTGGACACCTAAAAACTGGTATCACGAGATTGGCACACTTGAGACTTTTAAACATAACTGAAGGTTACCACAATTCACTAAACCCTTAACGACCCACGATTTGATTACATCGATATTAAACGAGGATGGTTCGCGATCCAAATCACTAAAACATACGACCCTAAATTATAATACTAACTCTAAATCAATTCACTTTAGAACATGTAAAATAGATATTAATCGACTACATGTATATCGATTTATGATTATATATTGTTTTAGATAATAGAAAATTAAGCACAACTATAAGATAAATAGTAACTAACTTAGTGTTTATAAATATTCTGTAATATATAATGTTGTATAGTAGTAAAAACGATCTACATAAGAGATCCAAAACGAATTGCAATCCATAACCTACCCCCATCGTACCGCGTACCTAAGAAAGTGTCGTACTATGTATCCGTACCCGTACCACGTACCAAAGCGATCCACGATCTAGGTAAAAGGACTTAACTTTGTTTCATTTGAAAACCTCAAAACTTGCAGGTGTATTATAGTAAAAGTCCATTTGGCAACAATGTACTACAGACAAAATGTTAAACTTACTGTGTCCGAACTTTTTTAGCACGCTTGATATGTCTTCGCAACAGCTCTTGAGAAGATAAATGCTCGACAGATACCTCATCCTAAAAGAAAATAGATGCAAAATGAACTCACTTCATCAATGAAACAGAATAATAAATGACAGGGAGAAGTAAAGTAAAACAAATATATATCTAAAAAAAAGAGATTTCAAGCATTTACGTCGAAACTAATGAGCAGTATAAAAAGTGAAAACAGAAAGTGTGCCGTGCAAAATATTGTATGCAGAGCATTTGGGAAGCAAAGAATGAACTTTTTACTAATCTGACAGGAATAAGCCTTTTTCCGGTAACTATAGATGTAACTGCTCACCTAGTTTTGACCACAAATAGGGCCACGTATGAAACAAGAAATATTCCATTTAAACAAACTGATTTTCTCATTTAGAAAACAAAATGACACCAAGAAATCGAATTTTCAGGCCTTTTAAGCTCCAAAAGGGCTTGACTAAAAGGGCTTGAAGTGGGAACTTCAGAGAATTATTTTTATCATTTTGGTTTGATTTACTATCCCTTCAATCAATTCTTACCCCCACCCCTCAAAGGAGTCAATGTCAGTGTCGCAAGCACTGAAATTAGTTCTTCATTCCGTCTCCCAAAGAACTGGATCCAACATTGCACATGTTGCCTAAGTTCATGTTCGACTGCATGAAATTGGAATTTCTGTGAATCTAACCCATGGCACCCAAGCTAAATTGGAGTAAAATATTATAATGCCTCACTCTGTAAAATAACCAAGTCCTTTGGATCATGAAAATCCAATACTTTCAAATCAAAAGGTACCAGGACCAAGTGGTTCGTTTAAATCCAACCCAAAGCAATCATCATTTGACACCGACAGTCCCACAAACACTGCAATTAGTTCTTCATTCCATCTCCCAAAGAACTAGATCCAACATTGCACATGCTGCCTAAGTTCAAGTTTGACTGCATGAATTTGGAATTTCCGTGAATTTAACCCACGGCACCCAAGCTAAAATGGATTAAAATATTATAATGCCTCGCTCTGTAAAATAAGCAAGTCCTTTGATCATGAAAATCCAATACTTTCAAATCAAAGGGTGCCTGACCAAGTTTGGTATGTTTAAATCCAACCAAAAGCAATCATCATTTGACACCGACAGTCCATCAGTGGAAGCCCACTTTTTTAGAATCTTTCAAGCATGCACTTTAAGGTGTCCATTCCCATAAGAGGAAATGAACGCCTCCATATGTTGTTGGCCTAGTTAATTGGAGGAAATGGGAGGTGTGCCCAGGGTATACAGCTAGTATATTTCCAAAACTTTCAGGAATCCCATGAATCACTCTAAAATATATACATCCAATTTATAAAATCCTTGAATTTCTAAACGATTGTTCATAGGGCTAACAACAGGTTGCCTGTAGAATTAAGTGCTACAGTGATGGCCACAACTTCAAGCTAAATCTAACTCATTATATTGAATGGTTTGGAAAGAGCAAGTCCATCAATAAAATAAATTTTTGCAGATGAACCATTACTTCGATCTACCACTATCCTTTAATTATTATTAGATGAATCAGATTTAAGGTAGTAAGTGCAGGTTAACATCATGCCAGGAATCATAATGGTGATTTATGCCATGAGGGTAATTTACAAACTAAGATAAAGATTTAAGTGAATTTGTAAAAGTATGTCAAACAAACAATTCAAGCTGTTACATTTTAATTGGTATTTTCAAAGTATAACATGTGCAGCCAAACACCCAAAATATAATCGTGTGCTTTCCCGACTAAATCTCCAGGTCTAGATCCTGATACCTATTGACAAACGTTTGTTGTTATTTATCCTTGTATGTTGTTATAATATAACACTTTGTTTGCCAAGATACATGTTAGTCCTAACTATAAATAATGAGAATGCAATAAAATAACTTGAAGAACCAACCTCTTGCTCCTCTTCTTTATCACTTTCCTTTCTTGCTGGCGAATGTGCTTCTCGCACAGGTATGGGTAAAGGTCTAGGAAGAGACCTCACACCATCCATGTTCTGTGGCTGCCAAAGAAAGGTAAAACACTAACAATAAGTAACAAAATAGACCATTCAGGTAGCATGAAATGTATTAAGAGCAAGTTTCCTGTAATGCAACCTAATGCAAAATCCAAAACGCCAACAAAAAATAAAAGAGACAAATGGAAAGGTGTTGTAAACTTCAACATTAGAGCCGTATTTAAGTTCAAACCAATTTCATCATGAAACAAGCTGCAGATTCACCACGTCTTTTCCATGGTTCAAAATCCCAGTATTTGACATCAAATCAGAAGCATATGCATTGGTGGCGGCATTGCGGAATTGTATCGAGTGGTATACACAAAATACTAAATAGAAGAAAAAATTTAATATCATGAGATTCAGGTCATATCAAGCCGTTGTGGTACGTTATCAGTCGATTCGGTGGCGAGACCCAGGGTTGATTCGGAGTTGTCTCGGATGACTCGGCCAATTCTTGTGAGACTCATGGTTGACGTGAAAGGTGAAATGGTATCGGATCGGAAGGTACCAATGATCTTTTCTATACCACGGAGAAAAACCATACATGACTTTTTTTCTCATTGCATGAAAATCTATCAAGATTACACTTCACAGTTATTTTCCTTAACAATTTGGCATGCTGATAAGAATTTTGTTACTAATGTCCCAAATTTTATTTCTCAGTCAAATGTCCAAATATGCCTCCCAACTCTCGATGGGCACCCAAAAAGGAACGAGAACAAATCTATAACTAAAAAAATTACTTTTGCCTAGTTATGCCAAGCAGAATCAGTGAGTGAAGAGATTGATGACATGGTCAGTCAAATTCTCCTTAATATCCACGGGTGATGTGGGGCTATGAGCATCCGTATTTTCCCATACTGGATCAAGCTAGAGTTTGAGCTTCGAAGAGCAAATCATGTGTCAGTAAAAAGTCAAGTCTGAAAGTCATGAGTTTGAGCATCCGAGTTTCAAGACATATACCACAAACAGTTGTAATGCAGCTCTGTTTGAGGCAATAAAGCTACACTAGCTAGTTTCACTAAATCATCAGGAAATATTGTTCTACAAGGTTGCAAAAGTTATGTGCCAACCAAGCAAAGTGAGCCAGGAACGCGATAGCAATAGTTCAACATGACGAGTATGTAATGACTTTGGCGTCTAGTCAATAAAGACGAGCACATTGCAGAGCAGCTGCAGCTGTATGGTTTTTTCTTCTACCATGAGCTACTGTAAACATTCAGACTCGAGTCTTTTATCATGTCTGATTTTTAGCTAATGACAGGTATGCCAAGAGATTCCTATGAATACCCTTATTGAATAGTTTTCATTTTTCTAACTGATTTAAGCATTATAATGCATACTATTCTTATCATGCAGGAAACAGTATGAAATACAAAGTAAAAACATAAAACTTAATGTACAACTCATGATTTAATAACAATGATAACGAACTAGTAAATAAACGTGGCACATACGACATGCATACAGAGGGCAATCTCCATGATGCAAACCTGACTTTCCACAGACAAGCCATTCCTCAACCATGATCGGCAGAGGGCATAAAGAGAAGCACCATCAGTTATTCTGACCTATAAAAAGAAAAGCAAGGTAACTAAAACCAACAAGAAGATTCCACAAAAAGGCAAAACACAAATCCATAGAAATGAATATCCATAAATTAGTGGAAGGTTCAGAATGGTAATGTTATATGCATTGGTAACTTTATAGGATGAGTATCAAATGAATAATCCCAGTCAGTTGGGTGTGGACAGTGTCAAAGAGCCGAGATGGATTTTGAAGATTGCGTCATTATTGCTTTTTCCAAACATTAGGGGAGAGGAACAATATATAGAGCTAGATAGATTTTTTAACTATTGAAAGAAAGGTATGTTAAAAACCATAAGGTACTTATGCGTTAGAAGGGCCAGTCACATTGCCACTGATAGATATTGAATTGCAAGGCTGGCATGGGAATTATTCAATGTGAAAAAGTGAACTCTGGTTTTGATTCCTGAAAGACTCCAAAGTATCCAACTTGAAGACATATGTTCTTTTAGCAGATCCTCTCAAACTTCAAAAGAATTTATAGAAAATCACAGGGTACTTGGTGTTTCTCTAGGTGGGAGTATTAGGAGTTCGCCTAACCGGGGATCCAATTTTTATGGTCTTTATCTGTTACGAAAATGTCACTTCACTGCAGTTATTTTCCCACTATGATCTGGAATATTTGTCTGATACTTGCATTGGTTATACACCTAGCAAGCATATCTATCATTTCAAGTTTAATTCTGCATAAAACTCTTAGGATGTGCCTTTTGTCACATAATTGCTTAACACTTGATACTACATAGAACACCATTCTATCATAGGAAATGAAATCAAAACATAGCATTAGTTTCCATGCTCCTTTGTCCTTGGATTTTGGGATTAAAAGAATCAAACGCTTGGACAGATACCAGCATCAAAAACTCATACTAAAAATCCACCATAGATTCAACCAAACATGATGCGGACAAGCAATATGGAAGTGATGATACAGTTGCGAAAATGGAGATGCAGGTACAAATCAAGTCATTAACTTACTCTGAAAATTTCCTCTTGTGGAAAAGGCAGTTTCAAATGAATTTATGAATAAATATTTTTGAGGATTTAAGAAGGAAATAAAGATTATTTTAGGAAGCACAGAAAGTAAACATCTAGCGTGGCGTCCATTTTTATCATCAACACATTCTAGATCACAGGGTTAAGAGAAAAACGCATTCAACATAGTTTAACTCAATTGCGAGTAGTTACCATTCACTGAAGCAACAATAAATCTCAAATCAAACAAAGCCTCATCCCAATTTTATGTGGTCAACTAGACATGCGTTTTTACATCTCTAGCAAGAAGCTGCATTAAGTACAATTGTAGACTTTAAGATGTCTAGGTGCATTAATATTGGTTGAGTACTCACGACCAAAAAGGGAAAACCAAAAACTTAAACAAAACCCCCAAGGAAAATAAATGATGCAAAACTTTCAAGACTCATGCTTTTATAAGTTTTACTAAAGGTTCTATATTGACTTATATAAACAAACTTAATCAGCATGTACCTGCTCAAGACCGATTGTGCAAACATAAAATATTGAAAATTGTTAACAGTGAATTAACTTTCCAATATATTTGGTATTACTGATTTCCAAATACTCAACCAATGAAAATAACAAGATGAAGAAGTTGAAAAGTAAGTTAAATATTGACAGATAGAGCAACAAAAGGTAAAATTTACATTCAATATGCTGGACTCAAACTGAACTTGAGTACAAACCTAATATGGGCAGTTAAAAAGGTATACATACAATGCATGAACACCTTTTTACCTCTATAAAGCCAAAGAAGAATCACCTATCAGCAGTCAGTTTATAATAAGTCAACCAATTCTTGTACTGTTGAATAATATAATAAACAACATGCATTCAAAATTTCCCTAAATATCACTATTCATAAGCAAAGATTAGGAGAATCCTAAAGATTGTTGGGCACAATCAATTTTATGGCATAAATCAACCATAACATCCCAAAGCTTATATAGGAAACTTCAACTAGGGCCAGATTTACATTGCAAGCTATCGCCAATCAAACAAAGGGACAGGAATGTTTGCTTACCTTTCTATCTCTGACGGTTGCAAGAGTATCATCCCTAATTCTATCCCTACAAATATGTTAAAGCATTTCTATCATTATTTATGTAATCAATTAAAGACAAGAAAGAAGGAAAAACTGGTGCATTAATGCAACAATACCGTAAATCTTTGTAGCCATTGCAATCAGAAGCCACAGATGGAGAAAGAGCAACCTGGAAGACAAAAAATGCAATATCAAATACAAGCCTAAACGTAGCAAATTATGTAGTAAGGTCCAAAAAAGCTGGCAATGTAGACCGAAAAGAACTTCAAGAAAGAAGCAGACATAACACTACATACACACTAAGCAAACTAGTTGGAATTTGCAGATACAATGCAAAGTGTATAGGAATTGGAATTTTTCCAACATAATTTCTAAGACATAAATACATCAGGAAGTGATATTACACTTTCTATGCTTCTTTCTTTGAACATCTGCAGATATTCCAATCACAACTACTAAAAGATCAGCATTGCAACATTGTTGAAGTAATCCGATAAGCTGTTGATGAAGACATGGGACGTGGGAAATAGAATGCAATGATGAAAGTTTGGAATCCTTGAAATGTTGGCAATGGTGAAGGTTTGCAATCCTTCAAGGTTCGTTTGGTTTGAAACAAAAGTATGATATAAAGTAAAAATGGTAGAAAGTTAAGTAAAAAAAAGAAAAATAAATAGAAAATATATTTCCTTCTTTGTATTTGGTTACGTAGAAAATGTTACAAGAAAATTGTAGGAAAATTATTATAATTACCAAAATTATCCTCATCTATTTGAAATGCCTGCCATTATGTAAACCATAACACCAAAACACATAACCCAGGGAAAAAAAAAACCAACTAAACCATCTCAATCCACTTAAACCCAAAAATCCAGAACCAAAACCCCAAAAAGTCAATGAGAGTGAGAGAAATGGTCCTCCCCAGGCACCCCATTTAGTCTTTACAAATATCCACCGAGTATCAACAATTATTTGTTCTTACAACAAATGCCAATGAGAGTTACCCCTGATCGTCCAAACCATTCCCGTAACAAAGTCCCCCACAATCTCCATTTCACCAAAAGACCCACTAGCCCTTCTCTTGAAGTCTTTTCATTTTTCACTCACTAAAGTGCAGGTTGTCATCTTCTTTTGTGCCATGAATTAGTTCAAAATTTCAAACCCAAGATGGATTCCACTACAGCCACTATGGGTCCGTTTGTTTAGCAGGATAATGATAAAAAAAGCAAGAAAGAGAAAATTTAAAAAAAATTTATGTGTTTGATTAGCATAAAATAGAAAATGATGGAAAAAAATAATTTTCTTCCATACTTAGATTTTCTCACAACTAACTAACTTTTTTTCTTATAAAAAAAACAAGAATATGCAAGAAAGTTGTGATCTTTAATTAAATTCCAATATTACCCTTATTTTTCTTAAAATATTTTATTGGTTATTAATTTTAAAAATCTTAGTATGAATTTGATTAATCATATAATTTAGTTCTGAAAACTTAGTGTTGGTGTTTGTCCCAGAATTAGGTTAGGAGCCATTTTTTTAAAATTTTTAATTATAATAAATGTTTTTTACTTCTTTAGATCGATTTAATATACTTAAGAATAATTTATACAATTAAAAAAAAAATTCTTGTAACTTTCATTTCTTTCAAATAATAAACTGGAATTTTTTTAAAACTTTCTCATAAGTTTTTCATGCTACCCAAATACATGCATGAAAATATATTTTCTTCTCATTTACTTAACTTTCTACGACCACATATTCAATTGATTTTTCCTTTTGTTCTGTTCTTTTCTCAATGATCTATATCCCTGGTTTTTTTTCCTTATTGCGGTAATGGAATTGACAATTGTCTTTATCGAGTGTTGAGTTAAAACCTCCTAGTAAGACGCTAGAAGCTGCGAGTTCAAGCCTCTTGTTCACCACCTCCATCTTCATCTCTATCTTCTCCAACGAGTTCTACAATCCTGTCGGAAAGGTCATCAAGTATGTTGACTGGGCATGTCCTCAGTCCGATTTTAGCTTTATTGAGGTCTTTTATTTTTAATTCTATGGAGAGTGGTTTTGTTCTGTTTGTTATTCATGTGTTAAAGAGAATAAGACATGAATACGGAAAAATGTCAAATGTGAGCAATAGCCCGTATTTTCATTAGGAAAAAAAAAAAGTTCCCCCTAAATTTTGCGGGAAATCAAGCGAAATATACAAGAAATTTTATAGGATCCGCTCATTATCCTGTAATTGCTCCTATTTTCTTGCTAAAAAAGGGGGGAAAAGTTTTATTTTTTTTTCTTTCTTGTATTCACTATCACTTGGTAATCAAACAGAGTGGACCTTAAAAGAAAAATTATTGTAAACATCAACCAGGAAATATGAAGAATCCATGATCACTGACAGAATTGGGCACCTATAATCGTAGTTATTAAATCGTGTATCAGAAGGTATATCGTTTTTTAAAAATAATGTATCGTATCGTGTATCGTAAGATACGGTGTAATTTTAAATAAATAATAAAAAAATATATATACCTTTGAAAAAAAATTATACATTTATAAAAATATAGCATATCATTAATACTCCACCACCTATTCAAGTCATCAACATAGTTCACTAATATTATAATGCAAAGTTTACAATCATAGTTCACCAATTCAAACTTCAAACACCAAAGAGACTTTTAATCTAAATTTCTAACATCCATTTTGAACTCAATCCATAAAATTAATCAAAATTCAGAAATTTTTATACAAAAAAAAAAATTAGTGTCTTATTTAAACAAAACGACGTCACTTCATCAGTGGTGGGGATAAAATTAGTATCTTATTTAGACAAAATGACGTCGTTCAGGAAGGAAAAAAAAAAAAATTTTGCGCGTATCGGTCCGATACGTATCCTATCGTAAAAAGGTATCGTGTATCGGACGATACGACACAAAAACGATACATAACTATGATCCGTATCGTTTTACCTCTGTATCGTAATGTATCGTTCGATACGTATCGCGTATCGTACGATACTAACAACTATGCCTATAATTGCTTACCACCATATTTGCATGTATAATCCGTTCTAAATAACACTTCATCTAAAACTTCAAGGCATCCATGTAAGTTAAAAAAAACCTTCTTCCAAATTTTTTCCAAATGTGGCAAAACAAACATTACACTACCAAATTCAGATTTAGACTATAACACCAACGGACTTTTAGTCTAATGGTACTTCTTACCTTGTAAAAACTTTATCTTTTTAATGTCAAGGGTTCAAGCCCCCATCCCCCCTCCCCCCAAAAAAAAATTTAAAAAAAAAAAAAAGATTTAGACTGTAAGTGGCAGGCTCCTAGGGTTGAAGTAAAATGTGAACAAAGCCATTAGAATTTAGAATGATGCCAGATTTAAATAAACCTTAAAGCATGCACATTTGGCATGTAAATATATGTTAAGTTTCATTGCATATAAGCAAAAATACAAGCACATGAGCATCCCGTCAAAGACAAAAGCTTTCTTTCACTTAAATTTAGGATCGTGATACTCACATCACCAACATGAGATGGGTTGTATATCATCACTGTTCTCGTATGAATACAAATGCATAAAAATTTGGTAGTCAGGCCAATCGATTTTCTAAAAAGCATCAGTGATAATTTAAGCCAAATTTTCAATTTTGGTAATTTTCCCAGAGCTTAAAAATGCAATACATAGCTAGCAAATCAAAAAATATATATATAATAATAATAATAAAAGGAAAAGGAAAAAAAAAAAGATTTTTAGTACACCTTCGAAATAATCGAATCAAATTAACTACTTGATAAAAGCGATTGCACAATTAACAATTCGTTGCAATAAACTAACGATTAGTTCAAATAGTCCATGAAAATCTGAATAGACAAATTTTAACAAACCAAGTGCCGAAGAATTCAAACCTTGGGGTGCGTAGAAACCGGAACCCCCTTGATCACACCAGGCATCACCCCACCAGTAGACCCAAGAAGAGGGTGGTGGAACTGGTTCGGCCTAATCAAGTGCACAGCCTGACCCTGACCCGGCTCCGAATAATTAAGCCCAACTGGCCGCACTGAGTGAGGCTGAGGGTACGAAACCATGGGGCGAGTCGGGTATCCACCGGGATTGGCAATCGTGACCGTCGGCTCGGCGGGCCGAATGGGTTTTGGAAGAAATCCTCGGCCCGAAGAAGCAACTGGGTAAAGAATTCCCTGTGGCGGCGGCGGTGGTGGGTCATGAGGATGGTGTTTGTTAGTGGGTAATTGTGGGCGAATTTGAATAGTGGGAACTCTGGGGGCAGTGTTGGGGAAGGATTGAGCTGTATAATGATGCTGGGGTGGTAGTTGGTGGCGGTTGTAGTGATGGGATGGTGGTGGGTAGTGGTGGTGTAGTGGAGGAGGGGTTGGAGGTGTTGGGTTTGTTGATTGTGGTGGATTAGGAAAGAGAGGTCTGGTGTGGTGGTGGTAGTGGTAGTGGCGGTGGTGGTGGCGGTGGTGGCGGAAGAGGGGGTATCTGGTGGAGGTGTGGGAAGGGCCATGTAGGTTGTGGTGGCGGGGAATTTTTTTTGGGAAAGGTTTGAGAGAGTTTTTCGTTTGAAAATTAAGTAACTATCTTTACACCTTTTTTAATTTAGCTAACGATGATTTACAGATTACACCCCTGAAATATGCATCCAACTTTTTTTTGCCCCTATATTTTTATTTACGACAATCAGGTACTCAAAAGTTTTAATTGAGTTTTCTACCTTCAAATTTGTCTGTTTTATCAACAAAAGACTTGACTAAAGGGTATCTTTCATACATGACACTCTCACATCATATGTCCTAGACTCAATCAAGATTTCACCTATTTTTGATTAGTAGACCTCAAAGAAACTTGTCTGCCTTTTCTATTTTTAGTGATATTTTTTCCATTTTCATTTAAAACCCCTATCAATTTTATGGTAAAAAACTTTGTTTTATTTCATTTAACAGAGATCAAAATGATAGCTAATTTAAAAACAAAAGATACAAAGCAAAGGTATGAAAGTCGGTAAGAGATAGAGAAACACTTACACATGAAAGTAAAAAACATACAAAATTTTGGCTATACAAATACAATACTATGGCTACATTGCTTGTGACGTACTTTTATCGAAACAAATTATCAATTCTCAATAGAGCAATTGAATTCAAGACTGGTCAATTGGTATAATTTGAACTATAAAAGCCCAATAAAAACAAAGGGTGTGATAAATTAAAGGATACAAAGTGTAAATTACCAAAGAGCTAAAACTCGGCAATTTCAAACCTACAGCAGCACTAAAGTCGCACAGCGATAAATACGACGACGTGTCGATATTAAGTTCGTTGAAACGCCGCGTACCAAGAAGTATAATCCTGAGTTAGGTGGAATACGGGCATCTATATATAGGTGAGGGTGAGTAAGAGAGACAGAGGAAGAGAGAAAGTGGGTTAGGGTTTGGTTTGAGGCGCTGGTTCCTGTGACTCTGATCAAATCCTCCTCGAATCTGGCCGGCATCTTTTCCCTCAGAATGTACAACGCAATCGGATTACAAACGCCTCGTGGTTCGGGATCTAACGGCTACATCCAATCCAACAAGTTCTCCGTGAGGCCGAAGACCGGCGAGGTTGTCTCCGACAATAAAGGCTTCGATTCCAGTCATGACGGCACGGCTGGGTTCACCAGAAAGCCCAACAAAGACATTCTCGATCATGATCGCAAGCGCAAGATCGAGCTGAAGCTCGTCACACTCGAAGAGAGACTCAAAGATGAAGGATACCCTGATGCCGAGATCGCCGAGAAGGTCGAGGACGCTCGGAAAACTCTCCAGGCCGCCTCGAACTGTAACGATTCTGGAAATTCGCAACTAAAGAAGAAAAATTCTTGGTAATTGGCAGAGCGAAAATAATACAGAAAAATTGTTGATATTCTAGCTTCTTGGCCATATTTCATTGATCTTCATTCTACTCGTACAACATTTAATTGAAAAATCAGAATATTTATTGTGATTTTGTATTGTAGGCCTCATAAGTCTTGTCTAGGTTGTGCTTCACAGAACCAGATGACTCAACCCCCTCCTCATTGAAAATCGAGTCTGAACCAACAGATACCTATCCCACCCCCCATCTAGAAATCTGGCCAAGTAAGCTACCAGAAAACATCAGAGAAAGTTCACTTGTAAGATCACCACGAGGAAAGGAAAGCATACCCTGCAAGAAGTGCAAGTGGAATGGTCAGAAGAAGTCATTACTGTGGCTAAGGAGGCGGGTCTTACCACGGTCCCACTAATATGGTACAACAATGCTTAACCACATCATACTTGGTATTGATAAATGGTGGTCCTATGGGAAACTACAAACCACAAAGGGGTTTGAGATAAAGAGGCCCTGTCTCCTTTCCTGTTTATTATATATGGTTCTAAACTCATATCTAGATTGTTGAACAAGGAAGCCATGCGGGAACCATCTAAGGGATCAAAATAGCAAGGAATTGCACTCTTATTTCTAACATAATGTTGGTAGATGATCTTGTTGTAGTTGGGAGAGCAAACAAAACTGAAAGGCATGCCTCGATCAATAATAAGCCTGGTCAGTCAAACAATAAGGAAAAATCAACAGTTTTGATAGCCCCAATGTGTTGAAGTGAAATCCATCCTAGGCTTGAAAAGAGGAACAATGGACACCATCTACTTGGGACTATCTCTGTAGATAGGAAGATCAAGGAGACAGGCTTTTCTGCACAAGGATGAAGCAAAGCTGCTAGGATGGAAGTCAAAGTTACTCTCATACGTAGGTAGACCAACACTCAAAAAATCAAAAAAATCAACAACTTTGGCACTACCTGGAAGAGGTGGCTTGATACGATTTGGGGGTTAAAGCTAAAATCTAATTGAGGATTTTCTATAATTTTTTTAATACTAGCATAAATTTCTTTAAAATTTAATTTTTTTTTATCTTTTTAAATGCATACTAATTTAGTGAATTATTAACAATTGTCCGTGCCTGAAGGCACAATATTACTTATAAATATTTGTTTATACATAAATATAAAGTAAAATATAACATTGTAGTAAACGACGAACAAAATGAGTCCGATAATATTTTTTATAACATCAACTACATGAAAAATTATGTTAATTGTTACACCACGAAAATCATGTTATAACTAATAAAACATAATGCATCTGAAAAATTATATCAGTTGACAATATTCAATGTTTTGTTTCTGATTCAAAATCTACGATTTTAACATTCATAGTCAACTTTATCGAAATAATAACAGAATTTATAACTAATAAAATGAAAATTAAAACAATACTCTCGCAAATAAATTAAGTCTGTAGATGTTATCAAATGACCAATGATAACTATCAAATGACCAATGATAACTATCAAAAATTCCGACTTTCAAAAGATACGACTTGACTGTTGAATTTGTATGATTCGAATTTATAGTAATGTTTTTAATTTTATATCATTCTTCTTGGTTATTTATATGTTGAGTATAATTTAGTATTAGATTATTTAGTAAAGATTGTTGCTTCGTGTTGTTCATTAAATATTGAATTTGTATTATTCGTATTCATAGTATTTCTTATAATTTTATATCGTTTCTCTCGCTTGTAATTTTGTATCATTTTTCTTGGATATTTAAATTTAGATTATGTAGTAAATATTTTTACTTTGTGTTGTTCACTAAATGTTGAATTTCTTTGATCTGTGTTTGTATATGAATTTAATCTAAACATATTTTCTTTAATATATTTTTTGATATCTGAGTTGTGAAATAACTTGAATTTAATCTCGTATATTTTACATGTTAATCATATTTTCTTTGTTAAATTATATTTTTTGCAAGTTATGCTTTTTTTTATTGATTATAAAAAATATAAAATTGACTATTGAATTTGTATGATTTAAGTTTATAGTAATGCTTTTAATTTTATATCATTATTCTCGGTTATTTATATTCTTAATATGTTTTCTTAAACTAAACGTTATTTAATATTGGATTATTTAATAAAGATTGTTGTTTCGTGTTTTTTATTAAATATTAAATTTGTATGATTCGTGTTCATAGTATTACTTATAATTTTGTATCGTTTCTCTGCTTGTAATTTTGTATCCTTTTTCTTGGATATTTAGATTTTGATTATTTAATAAATATTGTTGTTTTGTGTTTCTCACTAAATATTAAATTTGTATGATTCGTGTTTGTATATGAAGTTAATCTTGTATATTTTAAATGTTAAGCATATTTTCTTTAATATATCTCTTGATATTTGAGTTGTGAAATAACTTGAATTTAATCTTAATCTTGTATATTTTACAGGCAAAAATATTTCAAAAGAGTTAATGTGGTACGTTGGATTAAAATAATCTGAGACATAAATAGCTTGAGATAGTTTGAGATAATGCAGTCCGTTGGATGATGACTTTTTTAATTACGAAACGATCTGAGTCACTCTTTATCTCCAAAATTTAAAGTTGTTCTACTTTATTATATAGATGCTGTCTGGAGTTGACACTCCTATAAAATTATTTTTCTACGAATCAGGTATTACTCATTGAACATTGGTTTGATTTAATTTTTTTTTTAGATTAGGATAAAAACAAATTTTATGAGAGATTTATGTTAATGATACTTTTGAAAGAGAGAATCCCTTTTCACCGGAGAAAGAGATTCTTGTTTTTATAATGTCCAAATTCATTTTAGCCTTTAGAATTTCCTCTTCTTTTTTTTTTTTTCAATTGTTATTTGTGTGAAATTAATAAGTTGAAATTTAGGCCCAAATCAATATTTAGGCCTTCATATGGGGCTTGTTTATAGGATTAATTTTTCAGAAATTTATTTGGCTTTAAGTATTACACTGATCAAATTTTTAAGCCATTAAGTCCTATTATGCCTAAAGTTCTGGCCATTAGATATACATTACAACTTTTTTTTTTTTTTTGTATTTTTTAAGTACCTTACCTTAGTTTATGCGTAACTGATTGACAATTTTTATTTTCAAATATGTAGATATTAGAATTAATTTTATCAACCGTTTGAATTTTGAAAATTTATTCTCAATTCATTTGTCATTATATTCTTCAACTGAAGCCTTTTTTCTTCTCCAGTTGAGTATTTCTGGAAACAATAGGCAGCCATTTTCATTCTCAATTTATCTACTATATCATCACAGCCCAATGTATAATGTATTCAATCTGTGTTTCAGGATCTTGATTTAATATATACTATACCTTCCTTAAAAGAAGGTTTCATCAATAAACAAAATTAGTCAACAATAATTGAAGCCTTCAATGCAAGCCTTGAATGATACGAATAACTTATAAAAACATTTAGATTATTGATCGCAATCTAGAACTATGCTGCTTCTGAGATTTGTCTTATTTGCAGTATTGACGTACCAATGTAATTGTTGGTAAGACACAAAATTATCCACAAAGGACATTACTCTTGTTTTCATTTGATGAATTTATTCAAATATCCGAATAATATAAAAATTCGTTCGTGTGTCTATAGAACATACCATGGATGAAGAACAAATTCGACTAGCGGTATGAAAAAATATATATGGATAATTAAGTTCATTCATTGATAATCTCCATACACGTGAACAGTAACACCAAATTTCGTAATCAGAATCTAAAAAACACAAAATTCTATAATATTCATCAAATGAAAACATAATAAATAAATATGATTTAATGTTGAAAAATATTTTGGCTAGATAAATACTTGGTTTCAATCCTTTGATAACAAGAGTTATTCTTTGATAAATGATCACCATGAGTCAGACTTAATAGAATTTGATCAATTCTTTTTTGTTTGTCGTTAAAGTGGAGAACTGAACCAAGAATTCTCTTTCTTCATTATCAATCGAATCACTATTCGCGACCTAAGATTCTATTTTATAACCAATCTAATTCCCGTTCATGTTTTTTCTTTTACTTATTAATGAATAGATATCTTTATTTATATGACTTAGATGTTTTGTATTTCTCGAAAAAGTGATTCGATTGATGAGATTTGGTATGATACTGATGATATTAATATTCAAATATTCAATGAGCAAATAATATTAAATCAAAGATCCTGAACACAGATAATGGTTGAATACACACACATTGGTCGGTGATGATGAACCAGTTGAATGTTGTTTCAGAAAATTCTGAACTGATTAAGAAAGAAAGACTTTGGTTCGAGGAGATATAACATATTGAGAATAAAATTCCAAAATCCGCTGATGATTAATAGTGGCATGTCGCTTCGAAAAATCCTCTACTAGAAAAGAAGAAAGACTTCAGTTGAAGAAGAATGATTTTTCAAAACTTGGGCAATTGACGTTTTCTTCTCTGTCCTCTCCTCTCCAAAGGCAAAGGGAGAGATTCAAACGGTTGATAAAATCAAATATAATATTTACATATTTGAAAGAAAAAAAAAAGAGAATTTACAAATTTGATTGATTAATTCAAAATTTACAAATTTGTAATGTATTAAGTGCTTTTTTGATTGATTAATCAAATTTGAGTCTAAACATCATATCATATTTCACATATTGAAATTTAAATTCTAATGATTATGTTTCCGACTCACGTTTATACATACGTATGATGAAATTGAGTGAAATCGGTTAACGATCGAAATAACTCAAGTTTGAAATCGGGTTTGACGTAGTTTGGATTCATTCAAGCTCTTTCAAATTATAAAATGAGTTAAATTTGATTAAATTTTTGAGCTCGTTTTATAAATAAGCAAAATACAAGGAACATATAATTTTGACTCAAATATTCACGACCTCATATAGAATAAAATTCGAGTAAAAATCTAAGTTCATCTCGACAAACGATAGAGATAAAGTAAAATTGGACACGTTTGACTTCATTACCTTGTCTATAAATGTCATTTACCAGTGACAATGAGAAATACACCTATGGTAAAAAGGAAATGATAAATTGCATAAATGCCTCTTGAATTAAGATTTTTATTTTAAATTATTTCATAATTTTTAATTATCTTAATTTATCATTTAAACTAATAATTTATTTTAATCGATTAAGATTAAATTATAAATAATACAAATATTGTTAAAATTATACATTAATGAGATAAATTTTCTTAAAAATCAAGCGTTAATTTGTCTCGTATAACTGTTAATGTTCAAGGAATGGATTGATTAAAATAATTTACATAATTTAGGAAATATATTAAAATAATTAAAAATACAAAATTAATTTAAAATAAAGACCATAATTCAGGATCAAAAGGGAACTTGACTTGGAGCTTTGTTAGTCAACGTACTGCAACTCACATCAGAAGACTAGTTTCTGATCTTCCTTTGAAAAATCTATCTTTCTCCCTCCTTTTTTTTTTTGTCTCTCTTGCGTATATTCGTTCAATCTTTTGCTCATAATCTCTTTAGTGTATCGAATCATCATGATATATGTTGGTGGAGTTCCATTTTCTACAACAGATGGGTCATCTTCTTCTCAGGTACTCCACACTTCGCCTAATATAATAATTCTCGACTTTTTTTTTTTATCTTTTCTTTGGTAGTACTCTCATCAATCAAGAGGTTCAACTTCTTGATATCATATAATCTGTTCAATTTTCCATTTAATCAGTTCGTACCCATGTCTGTACACTCAATCTCCTGATAGAATTATTTTCACACATACCTAATTTGTTTGGTCTTGTTAATTTATTTGAATGTTTTCTTTTCGATGGAGGAGTCTTTTTTTTTTTTTTTTGCAGTTTCTGTAATTGAGCTCAGATCATGGTGTAAGTGGGTATTACATTATTCAGATATATGTATCTGTAAGAAGTCATAAATTAGGATTGTTGGTGTCCCTAAATTTCGATAATATAGAAAAATGAAATGATTTTCATTTCATTTGACTACCGAAATTCAAACATGAGAATAACTCTTAAGGATTTTCTTAAGATTAAGAACATGTTAGAGTGATGAAGGATCAACATCTTTAAAGGGTTTTTGTAATCAGCATTGGATCATTTCTAATATGGGAGTACATGATGTTCTGTAAAGAGTTTAATAGTCATATAATCTCATTAGGCTTTAAACTGTTTCCCCCAACTATTTACAATCAGCAGCTAGCTTGAATTCCAAAAAAGTAGCTTATCTAACAAGGGTTACACAGAACAGAAGCATTTCATTAGAGGGCGGGAGAGGAGTTGAAAAGGACGAAAAAGAAAGAAACTGAATTTTCCTCGTAAGGCCCATATTTAATGACCATCTGTTGCTTCTTGTACATAACAAAAGTACAATATTCGAAACTTTTTTCATCGTTTTGACTGAAACTATGCACCGCAACAAATTTTAATCCTGACCAAATGGCAACATACCAGTGGTACATGTGAGGATCAAACAAATACTGCTGATTTGTAGTGGACACATAAACCACAGCAAAGCAAAGGGCTTGGGTCAACTTGGTACATGACTAAGTTGAGACTATAGGGCAACTTGAAGAATTTGTCAATTAGATGTTCAAATGGTTAGGACCATGTCCTTGGAGGCAACTTGACCAGATAAAGTAATTTGGATTATGTGAGTTATTGTCTAGAACCCTAGAACAAAGGGATACATAGCAGGTACAACACGATTCGTTGAATAATATTGAGAAACCGTCTTATGGCATGCAGCTATCCCTCTCTGAAAATCCTATATTAGGTATTTCTCCTGTAATTACATTAAGAGTGAAAGTTAGGAAATAAAAATACGTCTATCAAAGCCTGACTATGCCCAACTCTGTTTTGTCACTAGATTGTATGAAGTCCTCAAGCAACCTGACACTCTCCACTCATCTCTGGCATTTGTTTTGCAGGATCTTCTCTAAACACTTATTCATGACTCCTCATCTACGAGGAGCATGCCTTAAGACTCCTACACTATAAAATAGCTGTTTGGCTGAATTTGGATAATGTCTGTCCTGGAATCTGGCTGTTTGTGGCTGTTGGTTTTTCTTTAATATATCCACATAAGGTTTCCATTTGATCATGTTCACTGCTTACCATCCCCACCTTTCAGTTCTCCTCTTAGGATGCATAATCATGCAATGTATCATCAATTCATTAGATACTCTATCTGTCAAACAAGACATGGGTTAAGTTTGATAAGGATCACTGGGTAAATATATAACTGAAACTATTTGCATTACAATAGAAGTAGAAAACTTTTTCACTCACCGTCATACCATCATGAATCATATGTTTATCTTGACTGATTACCTGCTGTCAGAACTATAGTATTTTCTTTATTGATCGGTAAGTACATCTGAAACTTCTGGTTACAAGCAGGGCAGTGACATCTTGAAAGCTTTGATGGAACACCCCATTTTGTTATCTGCCTCGCATTTGTTGAAAGCTATCCCGAAGAGGAAGTTCTCAGCTTTTGCAGAATCTGGTTCAGAGAGATCGACTCAAAGTAACTGTGTTTATATTTTCCAAAGAGAATATGCAACAGTGGACCCTGCGCTTGTGGATGTATGTTCCTATCTTTGCTTGTGAAGGGAAGTATAAATTAAATGCTCTGACATGGTACTTATTTTAAGAGTGTGTATCATAAGACTTCCGTTAACTCAACTTCATATTGTTGCTATATAAATACCCACTGTTACATTAGTACAATTTTCTGTCTTCCAAATTTTTTTGTATTTATATCAGTTGGACTGAAGCATCATCAATTGTAAATGCACGTGTGCATCCTAACCAATCTAAAAATGAAATGATAATGTGTATATAATTTACAAACCCATTCAGACAGCCAAAAATGTGCTGGTAAAGACCATTCTCTAACCGGTAGTTCTGTGACAGACAAACGCTTATCCAATTGTAACAGCATCATTGGACATGTCAGGCAGTTAGAGTTGTGCCTCATCTTGTGGGGCAGGACAACTTCTGATAGTTTGCACTTCAGAACATTGGGCATATCTGTGCGTTTTGCAGCTTGGAATCCAAACATTCTTGTGTGCTGATCACTGTAAAGGTGTCCTGTACAGAACTGTGAAGACAATTTGCAACACCACGATGGTCCAGGAATCAAAGTGCCTGCATGGATGGCTCTGATACACTGCTTTAAATTTAATAGGCCATCTTATTAACTTGCTTTGATGGAACATGTTAATGTTTCTTTGTTGTCATTATTCACTAAATATGTTTTGGAGTCTTTAAAATACTTGTAGTTTATAGCTAGCCACCTCATTCTCTTGTGGTGGTTATCCTTCTCATGTCGCAATAGTCACCCTACGTATTGTATTTTAATTCCCTTCCACATGCAATCCAGTTCATGTTTCTATTGATTCTATGTAAAATTGGTTCCGAATTATTTTGTCTCGTTCTTAAAGCTTCATTAAATCCTCATTCAATTTGTCCTTTCTTACTTACCCCCGGCCCCTCGCCTTTGACCTTTTGCTTTTGCATTTGGTGGTTTATTGCCATCAATAGCAAGCTACAAGCAAATCAAACATGCCTTTGTGTTTTCTTCCAGTTCATTAACATTACAGCATTTTTCTTCTGCAATGAATCCTTGATATTCTCTTCCTAGTACAGTAATTTCTCAGATTTCTATTCTGCAACTACTATTGTGTGTGTGTGTGTGTTTTTTTTTTTTCTGCTTTCTCGTTCCACTCATCTTTATTTTTCTTTTGTTTCCTCATGAAAAGTTAGTTGGCACTGATGAGGCAACCACCTGCACGGGCCTTGTCATTCGAAATCGCACTAGTGGAATGTAAGAGGAGAATACATTAGAGAAGAATTTTGAGTTTGTTAATCAAGATTTTATCTTGACTTTCTGATTTGGTAATCTGGGTCCTTGATTGCAGGACCTCAGTTGCCCACTTGGATTCACCAGAGGTTGTGGATATCGGCCTCACCCAGATGTTATCATTAGTTGTCGATCACAATTCTGATTCTTTGTTAGATGTAAACTTCTTACATCTTTAAAGTTGGTTGCCTCAGTGATGCTTTCTTTATGGCTCTAGGGGTAGTGTTGAATGGATTGTAACCTCTGCAAGGGTATTAATGTGCAGGTGCATATAATTGGTGCATTTGAGGATGCCTCACTTCATGTCCGGTCCAAGTCCCTCTGCTTTATCTTTGATTTTGAACAGATGTAGTGGCCCTTTAGAGGTAGAAATATTAACGTTGAATCTATTGGACTTTTTATGCAGCATCCAGAATACGGTTCTGAATCAGAGAGTGATGCAAAACAGGATGGCTATTCTTTTCCTTTGTGCAGCAAGATAATTAAAACCCTAGGAAAGAGGCAGGAAAACTTTCACATTCATACTCTCCATGTTCTGGGGCACAACACCAGATGGGATCCTGAAGGGAATTCATTCCCCATCTTCAGTGGGTTCCTGGTACTCGTTAACTTTATGGATTTCTTTCCTTGTTTACTGGCTTGGGCAACTTTCATTTGTGACTGTTCACGTTTATTTCAGAAGAATTAATAGAACACAGCATGTATATTTATCTTGTCCCACCAACTTTTTTTTATCCATCTGATATATATAGAAAACCTTTTAGACTTCTAACTAATTCGCGTTACCAATAATTGTCTGTCTTGTGCCATTAACTATTTGTAAAAAGAAAACATTGTACACCTGATTTCATTGACCTATTAGCCAAAACAAAAGTCATCCTATTTCTTAGCGTCTAAATAAACTGTAAAGAGTTACTCTCAGTCTCGCTCTCAAGATTCTGCAGATCAAACTTGTTATTTTGATAATTTACTGGTGGGATTGATGATATCAATGTTCAAAAAGGATTTACAATATTTTAGAGCACTTCAGTGTTCGGGATTATAACTTAGTATCTTCTTGTTGTGAAGTCTCTGGTGGAGCAAAAATCCACCAGGACCAGCCCTCTGATAATTGTTTCTCTAGGTTACTAATATATTGTTCGGCTGGATAATTTGTAATCCTATTTGTTAATTACCGGTAGTTTTCAAAGAATTTCTACTATATTATTGATTATTAGGAGGATAATTAAATGTATACGTTTGTTTGTATATTTTTGACCTATGATCTGTCTTGATAAATCATCAGTTGCCAGTAAAGTGGATCCCAAGACAAAATTCTTTGTGGTTTTTGCAGGCCGTTCTCGTGAGTCAGGAGCTTGAATTCCTTATTAAACAACTAAGCAGTGTTGAGATATATGTGAAGTGCGGTTGAAATATAGTTGTTGAACTTGATTTTTTGTTGTCTAGGTCAAACATTTTTTTATCCGGGGAAATATATAAAAAATGGTTCATCAGATGATATTTAATGAAAAAGGGTTTGGGCTAGGGATTCAACTAGACTTGAAGAGAGCAAAATGAAAAATTCTTTGGTGAAGGTGAGGCTGAATTTGTCAGCGATTGAAGTGACGAATTTTGCACCTTAAAAGTCAATAGTAGGATTTATGGGTTTTTTTTTTATTATTATTATGGCAACTGGCTTAGTCTTCTCTGGTTTGAGGGGATATTTATTTTAATCTGCTATCTTTGAGAAGCCACATTTCAACCCTGGTGGGAGCTCTATGTAGAAAGATATTGGGAGGTCCCCACATGTATTAATTATGTCAACATCGTTGCAACTACAGCACCAGTTGCTGCCATAGTTTATATCCTTAATGACCTATATGCCCTTCTGATTAAAAGCACAGTAGAAGCCTCATGTGCTTAGGATGTCTTAGTCTCAATTCCTTTTGTAGTGTCATCTGCGATTCTGGTGACACTGCCACACTTGTCTCTAGCAATCCCATAAGTATCATCATTGTGCTTTGGAAGTTATGGAACCAACATTTGGAATGTGGCCATTAAGAAAAAATTTAACTGATGTTTAGAATAATGGTATAAGCTACTTTGAGGAATAGATGCGAGCCTGGAGCTTTTGTCAACATGAAAAAGGTTATGGCCAGTATCATGCATTGCGCCTGCGTCTGTATCAGAAAAAGCTTTTTGCTATTAGACTTGCAATCTATACTTCATCAAGTGAAATCTGGTTTTAATTGTATAGGGGAGTGGGGACATGATATTAGGACTCTCTACTTTTTGCATTCATGTATTTAGCTGAATCTCTTATTATATCTCTTAAGGTACTGATCTTTTTTATTTGCACTTTTTCCTCAGGTGGAAACCTCTACTGGATCAGTATTCCCAGCCAGCTTTGACAGAACTTCTAGATGTCCAGATGAAATTGTTAGGAGGATCCGGGTGACTGTATGTTTTGAGGACCCCCATTGGACTGGAAGGTTACTAGAGACATATGATACTCAGACAGACCGATTTGTCATTGCTCCATGCACATGGTAAAAATGTTACCTCACCTTTTTTTTTTGTTTGTCTGTGTGTCATTGGTCTGATATGTGCACTATCACCGAAACAAGTCCAAAGAAATCCCACAAAAATTCAATTATGCTCACTTCTACTCATATTGGCAGTTTTATTGCTGCTCATTTTCGTGTTCTTTTCTGAAAATTTTTCTTTTTTTCTTTGTTAGTTTATTCCTATTTACATCCCTCTACTACTTAGATTTACTGTTTTTTTCTACTGATCATAGGACCATACGTCAATTACAGATTGCTGTGACACTGCAAAACCTTTCTGATCCAGAAATTCTCCTTACATGTTCTACTTCACCTTCAGCTGAGAGCCCAGATTTTGTGGATAATGAAAGAAGGTCTGTCATTGATGTGGAATTTCCCTAGCCCTACGCCTACAGTAATATATTTCTTGGTTTCTCATTTTCAACACCAAGGATCATAATCTGGAGTGTCTGAGCTGTAGGACATTAGCTAGCATCTCACAGTATTATCTATTGCTGATGTTATCAGGATCTGAGAATTGTAGGATTCTAAATTCCACGATTGATAACATTACAATAACTGATAAATCATTGATGAATGAGATGATATACGAAGCATAATATTGGAACCTTTAAGTTCCATTCGTGGGATACAAGTTATTACCATGTATTAAGCTAGAGCAAAATTCGGTAGTTTGGTGTCTCTCTCAACTAACCACTCGCAACTAAGAAGTCCCATTTGAATTTCCATAGTTGTCTCTATATTTCTCTCACCACTTCCCCGCTTTCCACACTACAATTCGTGACACATTTTTTAGAATGTAGAGAATGGAGGGGGTAATGGAAGAGAACAAGGACTGAGGTTGATGGTTAGGAGATCGTGTAAAGTAAGATTTTGATCTAGCAACTGGTTGAGAGAGAAAGACCAGTGTGATAGAGAGAGGGAGATCCCAGAGTACTGTAAACACTTAACATAGTGGGAGACCAAAATAAACCAACGTCTTTTGTTGCATTAGTTGACTAGACACCCCATATTGTCCCATAAGTTGTTAATATTGGTTGGTCAGTACAGGGCCTTGCACTGAGGATGCTTCTTACTCCAGTAAATCCAGTTATTTTATTGGATTATCCTAGTATCCAATCTGACTAAATTACATGTATTGCTTATACTAATCTTATTTGGAAATGGCATGAATATAAGGTAGTTTTAGACAAGTTTCTTTGGAAGTAGATACCAGAATGCCAAGTATGGCTCGTAACAATCTATGTTCCGGGCCATACAAATATTCTTTCACCATTTGGGGTGTTAATTTACCTACGGCATAGGAAGATTCTTTCACCATCTCTACCCAATATCCCATCATCACAATTCCATTTTTGTCTAAATTGTGGAGTAAATGGGCTTCTAAATGTAGTATTTCGTAGCAGTGCCATCGGCTAAAAGTTGTCCCTTTTTAATGCATTTACCCTACCAAACCTGGGGTTTTTGATGCATACAAGTATTTGTGTTTACTTTACTCTTGGGGTTTGAATACAGCAAAATAATTTCCAGCTTCAAAAATTTTAAGCATAATACCCCGTCTGCCTTGAAGACCTAATTTATACTTGTTCCTTTCTTCAGGAAGTGGGACTATTTGTTTCAACACCCAGACTGGAGAGAAGCCTTTCCTTTGAGGCAGCCCCGGGTATTTGAGAGGGCAAGTGGAAGTTGGAGGAGGCGCTTGGTAAAATAACAAGGGCATGAATTTCCAAATTGAAAAAATTCACTATCTATGATATTCGATTTCATTGGGCAACCAAATTTCCTTGGTATTAAAAAGTCAGATACTTCTCCTCATTTGTAATGCTATATGGTAGTTTGGACCATAATAGCTTTCAGGGATGGCTGGATTGATTAGAATTAGAGCTCAACCGATAATCTGATTTTTGTTTGAGGAAAAAAATGCATATATTATCGGATCATCATATTTGGATCTGTTGTCTGTTGTAGTAACCTTGGATGGATTTACAGTTTCCAGTGTGTCTAATGAGTTAGAGTGTTTCTAGTAGAAGGGGAAATAGTGATACTGGCAATCTGTTTTATTAGAACCATTGTTTTCCACGGCCCAAGTGTAAGCCAAGGTATAAGCTTCGAGGATGATGTAAAGCCTTCAGAATTTCGAATATAGTACATTTTGGAAACCTAGAAAGATTCCTCACTACACACTTTCTATATATCTCTCCGTTATGTACTTTCTATGTATCTCTCCATTATCAGCTGCATGTTGTAGTGATGAATCGGAGATAGAACAATGGGAATGTTACAATTTCAGATCCACTATTATTGTTGTTGTTTTTGATGTCGAAATGATCTTTACACATTGACAACTAGCTTCAGTTGGTGACTAAAATATTGGGAAAAATTCAAAAAATAACAGACATTTTAAAAGTACTAAAGAAAAAATAGATTGTTAGTAACACAAACAAGAATGTTCTCAAACGAAAGACAGAATTTGGAAAATCATAGGAGAGGAAAGCAAACTGCAGGCTGGATCACCAAGCCATGCTTGGGCTGTTCAGCTCAAGGACAACCTAACAATTGCATCTTGACAAGCTTTAAAAATGTTACATTACTACTGCTGAGGAAAATGTAGCTCAAAAGCTACATAGTTCAAGTGCCTGGTGATCTCTAATACAGCAGTGTCGACATTTCTTTTCTCCCAGAAAGTTGCATCCATTCTCCGACTCCATGAGCAAAATGACACCTTTCCCCAAAAGTGCACGTGCCCTTTGCAAAACGTTCACACATCTTGGTCTTATAATTGCTAGCTGGAGGAGCACGAGCGGGCAATCCAGAAGGGATTTTTGAAGGACCGGTGGCAGCACCAATGTTCTCGATGAGCTCACGCACCATACTACTAGCATGTTTGATCTGATCAAAGGTTCCTTCAAGCTCAATATTCCTTTGATTTGGATCAGTTTCATGTTCCTTTATAGAAAACTTGACACCAGTAATGCGACAAATTTGCTTTGAGTTCACACCACCCTTTCCAAAAATGGCTCCAGCCAAAGATGCATCTATGCTGATCTTGGCTGTAGCTGACGAACCGAAGTTAGCTGCAGCAGGTAGGCTAGGTGGGGATGCTTCAACCCGCCCAGGAAACCTGCTGACCATTGATCCATTGCTCGGGGATATTCAAACCCTGGGAAAGATGGTTTGCCAAGCTCCATCTGGCTATGTGCAAAGTGGCATTTGTCTCCAAATTTACATCCTTCTGGAGTATTAACCTTGTTGCAGAGTTTGGTCTTGGTGGATGCAGGACCATCAGTAAAGGGTGTCGCAGCCATGGCATTTCTTCTAACAGGACCGCCCATGTTTGTCATCTGACTAACTGCACTATAGCCACCCGGAATATAATGCAGGAAGTGACATCCCTCACCAAATTGGTATCCAGAAGTGCTGCATCACTCATCAGCAAAAGAACGTATGAGAAACACCATTGAATATCACACAGACATCAGTAAAAGAATTACATTGACAGTGAAGTGGGCTCTAAGGATAATAATATCAGTCAGCATGCATACATAACACAGCAGATCCGGAGGAACAAAGATGACACAGGACAGAAAGAAATTTCCAAACTCTTAAAATTTTATTATAAGTTATCAGATTTGTGCATTTAAAAACATTTAGAAGTCAATCAGAAACATTTTTCTTTCCATTTATTGAACAAAGTAGATTCTGCTAAGTATGCGGTATGTACACGCTGAAAACAAACCATACAGCCAAGAAAAGGTAGTGCCCTCACAACTGAAAATGGACTGGAAAACACAAAGAATACGAATTACACCAACTGGCTTAGTTACTCTTTCTTCTTGGAAATACCTTTTATAAGGAACTGATATTCACTGTCATACAGCTTTCGATAATCAATTAATTTGTAACAATGGAAATACAAAATTTTCAATTACTAAATAAAATCCAAATATATCTGTATTGTACACATTGAAAGACTAAATTTTGAAACCTCAGTTAAACTCCATTTGTAAAAAGTGACTACTAGGAATTAACCTTATGATAGGCTAACTGATAAACAGGCATATAGATATGAGTTTTTATCAACAGGTTAGACCAGATCTCAGGGGGCCATGAGAAATTGATTGTGCAAATACATTGAACCACCAGGCCAAAAATCTTGATATCTATGGATCCCCTCATGATCCCTTATTATTAATTAAATTGAGAAAACTGCTGGAATTAAATATATTTCAGATAATAACCCAAACAATGCAGCGTGTCAATTATTCACAAGGATATAGATATGACGATTTTCCGAGATAAAGGCATAAATGTAAATCACAATGAAAAAGAGTTACATTACCCGACAACGGTTTTTCAATGACCTATAGTATCATTCGTTATATTGAACTGTTTTCAACTAGAAAACTTAGATGACTGTGGTTGCTAGTAAAACAAAAAATATTTAAAGGCTAGATTTCCATGATAAAGGTCTTAAATTGAGAATTATTTATCTCGGATGGGTTAAGATTATAACCTGAAAAACTTCGAGCATGGCTTTGATTTGCTTCCTACACCGGTTGTATCTGTTGCAAAAACATTAATCCAGGATTCACGACGTTATTAATTATTAATGACAACAACATCGAAAATCACCCATCCATAGAAATATAATAAATTCAGCAAAAATAAGGTATATAAATATAAATAACTTCTTAACTTTGGTATATAGTGCAGCGAAGAATCAAGAAAATATATTCTTCAAAGCACATCATCAAATTTTGCCGCATCTATTTCTATACTGATCTCTCGTCCAGCAAAACAAAGATGTCCAAACCACAACAATTCAAACTCCACCCCCAAACTTGGCCAAGAAAGAGCATTCTAAATTTTGGAATAGTCAGAAACACTACTGTCACTTCTTTGTCTAATCCCATTTTTTTTTTATGGCCACCTCGACTATTTCCTTCCCCGGTCCGGTCAAAGGCCGGGGATCGGAGAATTAGGATATTCACGAGGATAATTTTTTTAAAGAGATCTGAATTAACGATAGCTGTTACCACCTCAGCTACCCCTTGCGGTTGTCTAATCCCATTTTTTGGGCTTTACTTGTTTATTACATCCAATGATTGGGTAACTCAACCAGGGGAAGGGAATGCCTATCCTGGCCAAATTCTTTTCAATCTGAATGGTAATATTCAATCCCAGAACTCTTGTCCAACTACCTAGACACGACTTTTCGGAATAGTATGAGGCGAATTCCATATATTGATTCACTGTTTATACTCTTCAGAAAACAAGAAATTTTTTTTTCCATCTTTTTAAATCAGATGCAAACAAGCATATCACATAACCAGATTCATAGAGCTGACCCGAATCGCTGGGATCTGTGTGTGTGTGTAAGTGGACAACTTCAAATCAATCAATATCATCAATGTCAAATAGTTGTATATAGAGGTGAGACTAACCGTCCTTTGATTTCTTGAAGCCTCCATTGACGGCAAAGGCACCATGTGGTCTGTCTCTCTTCTTCCCAAACTCCATCACCACACCAGATTCAAACCCACAACTCCACACACCAACTCCAAAAAATCTATGAAATCAAAGTGAATATATGCGCGCGCGCGCGTGTGTTCATATATACTGACGAATGAAATTATAATTTCAAAAGGAGCAAACAATAGACAGGCCAGTAAAACCCTAGGGTTTGGCTGAGGACGATGTCGCGCTGAGGCGGTTCCGGGAACTCAAACCTGAGATTTAAATTTGCTTTATAATTAGGATTCGAGACCGCGCTTATTGGGCCCTATGTCACGAAATGTCTACATTGTTGTACAGCCCGTAATATATTGGGCCCAATTGAATCCAATAACTTTTGGCCTGTCCAAAAGAGAAGACAGATTGAAACAACGTCGTAGCATATAATTCAATCCAGTTTCATGGGAGGCACGTGACTGTAATGTTGGGCCAGCAGGTGACACCCATACGAGTAAATATTCATTGTAACAGTAATAATATATGATTATTAATATAATAAATTAGGCTGACTCATTTAATGTGAAAATTAATTTTAGCCTTACCGAATTTTTAGTGTAAAAAAAGTTCTTTGATTTTTGAAAAAACTTGCATGCTGTCCAAACCCTGCGAATGTTGAGGGATTGATTAATTCCTTATTTTCATTACCTATTTTGGCCTAATCACGTGGTTTTAACTTAAAATATAGTTGATTTTTTTTTTTTTTTTGGCATTTATTGTTGAGGTTTTTGCGGTATTGCCTATGAGTTTTGAAATTCAAACTCGTAAACCAAACAATTTGGACATTATGATGACGTGTGATCTATCTGACGATCTATATTTATTGAAAAGAAAGTACATTAACGATTTGTATATGCACCTGTCTAACGATTATTGCGTACATGTTATTTTTTTTATTAAGTACCTGTTATTTTTTGGCTCGAAAATATATATATATATATTTATTCATTTAATTGTGTATATATTTTTTTAGTGTACCTGTATAATGATTTGTGTTTATGGAAAAAGATGTATATTATGCTGATGTAGTTTTTTAAAACATGTGTTTAAATTAGGTGATGACATTGTAGTTATTTTTTATGATTATAAATGACGTTAGTTATGTCTATTATTTTGACTTTTCAACAAAAACTTAAATTAAAAGAAAAATACCGAGTGTGCTTTTTGTGGAATTCTACTGGACCGGCCTCCAAATCCCTCTTAATAATATGTGATATCTTTACGTAATGATAAACACTACACAAGCACAATATCAAATAATTACGGAATACAAAAGGTTTGTTGGTTTATAATTAAATAATTACCGAATATGAAAGGTTTGTTGATTTATATGATAATTCGTTACTAAATAATTATATCACATGTTAGAAAAAAGCTTATGCAACATACCATTTATATAATATTTTAACTAACAATTTGAATGGTACATTTATAAAAATACAACAAAAGTTGAAATTGATTTAATTTTTATCTAATTTTATTTAACGATATAAATTTTATTTCAAAAAGAAAAATTCTCACCTAAAAAATTATATCTTTGCATGACCATTAATGTCAATAACTCAATCAACCTCTAATGACAAATAATCCTATTATTCTATATCTACATCTCTCTTTAAATAAATGAATATTTAAATATAAATGCTGCAAATTTTCACTAATGTGTTTAGTAAGAATTTCAAAACTATTCTTTAATTGAATGCGACGATAAGGATTGATAATAGTAAAGTAGGCACGAGGTTGGCTCATGAGCTCTGCAGCTTGATAAGGTGAGAGTTTCAATAAGGACCTTCGCTCCTTGCTCGTCAACACTCTAATTCGGCAGTTCAACTCGTCTCGACTAATTCAAATCAGTTGAAATATCCACGCTAAAAAATGCTAATTTATGTTCTACTTCTAGTACCACTTCATTCAAATAATTGTTGAAAACCTTCTAACAATAAATCATATGACCTATGAAAGAGTCTACTTGTACATCATTTAGGTAAGCAATTCATTCTTAAATAAATATATTTTTTCTCCATTATTCTCTCTGGAGTAGTGCTATTTATCCCAAATTTGTAACCCAAATTTACATTCCAAATAAAAAAAATCAGTGGATCAGTGAATCCCATCAACCTTTTTAAATAAGACCCATTGATATAATAGTCCTCTTTAATTTAAAATATAAATTTAAGTTACAAATTTAAAATACATATCATTACTCTTCTTTTTGAACTTACCATCGGAAGGTCGATTGTCGAAGTCCCTTTGTCGTTCAACTTCATACATCATGGTGAACAACTTTTGGGATCAACAAGGATTATGTTAACATTCCTATTAAAGTAAGGAAGTGGTTCCTCAATTCAGTTAATACAACCTTGAAGGGACACTGGAGGTTCAAAGAGAGGTTGAAACGACTTCCATCAACACTTCTTTTCACCATTGTTCAACGATGAAATCAAAGACAATGAACAGTTTCTCTACCCACCAAATACCAACACCTTCTCCGACAACTAAAACTAATCGGCGATACTCTTCCTGCTTAGGTTTAAACGTTGTAAGAAGTGACTATAAAAAGAAAAACTAAATACGACAGAACCTAGTGCACTGAATAACCAGAAGCATATATTTCTGCTAATTTATTTAGTTTTCAACTCCTCTCCAGTCCACGCACACGTCGATAAGGATACCTGTCTTCTAAAATTATATAACAGAACAAAAATAACACAAGTCAAAGTGAAGCGGTAAAGAAAAACTTTGTACATGATCATAACAGGTTAATATGGCTACTCAAATAATTTTACACAAACATCAACCTGTTAATAAAAAAAAATATATCAGCCTCGCTATAAATCTGCCCTACCCTATGACGCTAAGTGACCCAAGACTACAATAATTCAACGGTAGGGAAAGCATAATTTAAAAAATGATAATGTACAACGAAACCCTAGAAACAAATGTTACATTCGACAGACTCACCAAATCATCAGATAAAAACATCCATGCCCTCAGTTCCATTTGAATGTCAACTACATCTCCCCAATTCCTTTGCCAAAGTTAGCTTTTCTACTACCCATCACAAAACCTCGCCTAATCATTGTCGGTCAACTCATTTGCCATGCAGGAAATGGCCACCTTCATCTACATCAAAGCACAAGAATTACCATAATTAGAATGGGATCAGTTGAAAAGGTACTTTCAGATCAACTTTCTAGAGGGCTTGAACGTACTTGTGCGTGTGGACACAAGCACGGACAAGCCAAGATAATCAACTTATAGAATGCAAATTAGGGTACTCAACTACACTAATGTCTAAAAGCATATTTGTCAGAACTAAAAAAAATTAAAAAAGGCCTCTCCCGTCTTCTACTGGCTTGAAATAAGCACACATGCTCGCATTACAACAATATTTACTTTTTAGATATGTTAATACAACGAGACAGATCCTTTCTGAGGGATGGAATTTTCCATGAAATGCCAGGGAATATCAAGCAAAATAACTGAATTTTCCACAAGACACCGAAAATGCCTTGATAATTTTGAACAAATTGCATATAGCTGACATGGGAGACTAAATCGTTAAAGAATTAATTGATGCATTGCTGAACCAAAAGTAAAAAGGCTTTGAGCAGATTTGTACCACTTTCACCATCCGAAATATCAGCAATCCTCGCAATGGCATCAGTGAGTGCTTGTTCATGGTCCTGCATTGCAAAAATCATTGAAACTTGTTGTGCAAGCTGATGGCAATGCAAGAAAAAATTAATTAGCGGCATGGTTGATTTTTCTGACCTTCAGCACTTTCTTTGCTTTCTCGATTTCAAGAGGGTCCGCATGACTAGCACCAAATAACCTCTCCACCTGTCCAAATTCCCAAGACAATGAGAAACCGTATGGCAATCAGAATGTACAAATACTGATATTCCTCAAGTTGCTCTTCCTTACCTCCTTAATTAGAGTATCAGTATGAAGTAGCTGAATATCATCTGACCCCTTTTTACCCATGCCATTTTGTGATGGTGGAATACCCTTTCTGGATTGACCTTTTGTCACCCCCCTACCTCTTCCTGCACCTGGAACACTATCACGCCCAACAGATCTATTCACCCCACGGCCTGATCCGCCATAACCTCCTTGACGAGAAATTCCAGGGTCTCCACCATCCCATTGTATATCCTCAGAAGAGATCTGTCGCAAGAACAAAGAACCAATGATAATAAACTTGAACACAATTTAATTTAGTGTATGCAAACTCTGGGAGAAAGAAAGAAGAGAAATGAAGAAAACTGAGAAATAAAAATTCTGCAGATGAAAGAGAGTGATCAGGGTTCTCTCCTCGTCATCTTACATTAATACTGACTCATACGCTGATGCCCTGTTGACTTTAATTGAATCACTTTCCCTTTAAAACAAAGACGAGTGTATTAAAGTACCTGAAAACCTATTGGCCGAACCTGATAAAAATGTTGATAGGACCTTACAAACAGAATTAATTAAGAATGCTTCGGGCATAAATTAGTTTTTAAAATAAACTTCAATGTCCTACATCCATTTAATACGTTAGCCTTAGAAAGTTTAGATTGCGTGCCGTACAAAATTGATAGAATTAATTAATGCAGTTATTCTTGAATGGAAATTTGTTACAATTTGAAAGCATGGTTGGTTCTGGTTTGTGAAGCACGAACACTCTCAAGAAGGTGACGTATCCATGTCGGACACGTGTCCTTTATCCTTTTATTCGTGTTCATAATTAAATGATAAAATTTTAATTTCGGACACGTGTCCGACATTTCTTTGGTGATGTGTCCAACACCTCTTTAGACCGTGTCTTCTACCAAAACAATAAACATGTGGTTAACAGAGATTAAAAATTTAACTACTAAATACTATGTACTATGAGAAAAGATATAATTACCGAGACTAGACATGTCAAAGTTGTACTCAAAAGATACATAAAAGATTTAAAAAACAACAATTGAGAAAATGAGTGCAATCATTTAAATTATATATGCTTGATATACGTCTACAAAAAAATGATAATTTTTTACAATTATGATGGTAATCAATTCACACTAGATGACTAGATATAACATTTACTTATCATAAAATACTATTTTTTTTTATGAATAATATATCATTATCACTATATTTGTGATAAATTATATAATTTTATATATAAATCATAATTATCTATAGTGTGTCTCCAACATCTTCGTATCTTACTTTTTTGACAAATGTCGTGTGGTGTCATATCTGTGCTTCTTAAGTTCCACTGGTGGAGCTTATGTGCCTAAGGAGGCCATGGCCCCTTTATATTTTTTATAGCCTCTAGGTATATATATTGAACAAAGGGAGAGAGAGTTTTAATGGTAAAAAAACTGGCGCCCCCATATTAGATGTATTCGGTACATAGAGATTTAAGTAAATGTAGACCACCCGCCAAACACAATTAAGTATTATTCTATTCTTTCATCAACAGTATGAGAGTTATCACATATCAATTATTTCCTTAACACATGGTCTTGAAAAATGGAAAGTCAATAAAGAGTAATACATTTTAACAGAAATCCAATAAAATAATAATACATTCCAAGTTCGTCAAAATTTTCATTATTCTTTCACTGTCTAAAATAAAGAGAATCTCTAACCCCATGACAAACTAAAAAAATTCTACTGCGCTAGGACTTAGAAACAAAAGATTTAATCCATCTTTCATCCAAGAGCAAAATTGGTGAATCAAACCACAACAAATTCACTCATTGCTTTTTTCTACACAGATTAACGAGTTATTATTTTTATTTTTACTACTAAAAAAATTAGATTTTGACAAGTATTTGTGGATATGAATAAATTATTATATTTTTGGTCAAAATTTTGATTATTATATTTTCTATGTGCATTGTTATACCGGTTAGTTTAAGGTGTTGTTTCTAAGTGTGCAATTTGAATTTTTGCAGATCTGAATTTTTGTTCATAACATTTGGCCCCCCTAAGAATAAAATCCAGGTTCCGTTCTGGTTGGTTCCCAATGCACATAGGAATATGCAATAAGACAATTTCACTGGAGTGCTTTAAACGAAGAACACTGCATCTGAGGGAAAATAAGCACAAAAGGGCGTAAATATTCTACTAAGTGATAACGATTGCAAATTTATGTATCATTCCTACAAACTGATAGCTAGTGACTAAGCCTATGCCATCCATACCTATTAAAATGATGAAATATATAATAAAGAAGAACTCTCTATACATGCCATATCAGAGACACATATGTCCATCATTAAGAAGTTATTTATTAATCAAGCCTCCATACGGAACCATTTCATAGACAAGTAACACAAACTTATCATGTGAGGTGGTTAAAGTTTGCTGTGTGACACAGATGCCTCACAATGTGGGATGACTTGGGAGAAAATAGAGGCCCAGGCCCCACATCTTTCTAGGTCGCAGCTGCTGCTCAAAGACTATTTTAGCCATTACTGAAGTTCCACTTAAATTTTCAGTTCTTGCATTTTTTTTAGTAAACTTACGATCAATATGTCCATATGTATATTTGTGCTCCCAATGGCAGTCTATGGCTTACTTATCCACATCAAAACTCAGCCAATGTGTATAAAGCTTACTTTCACCAAAATAAAAGCCAATTGAAACACTGACAAATTAAGTTGAAGATATTAGAACTGCCTGCAACCCCTGACCATCCAAGTCCAAAGACTCCAAAGAGTTAAAAATGAAAGGAAGAAAAACAAAAACATAAAGTATTCAAAAGTTGAAACAAGTCAGGGCCATGAACATGGTGAAAGCCATCTCTTTTTGCACAGAAACTCAACTTTATTTTCACTTGAACACTGTAGATTGTGCAAAAAAGTATCATATATACCTCTGAAAGATTGACCCATTCCCAAGTCTCATTTGCAGTACCTATATCATAAACGAGAGCATGTCGTCCCTGAAAATGAAATGGAAAAATACCTTTTTAACACTGAACTGGCAGAAAATTAAAAACCATTAAGCAATAAGGGTCATTACCCAGCTAGGTCCTTGATAATTGAGGGTTCTAGTAGAGTGGATACAACCTAATCTTTCTCATTATTTGCACAAATCGACTGTCCTAAAATTCAAACCCCAGTCTAATAGTTGTCAGCTCCAGACTTTTACCACTACACTAGACAATAAACCCTAAATCCATAAGCAATGAAAAGTCAAATATACCTCAGCTGCATTGTAGTCAGTTATAACAGCTTCATAAAAATTATTATCATCAGGCCATCGCGTCCTCACTTTCCTCCCAATCAATGGATCAAGAGATGCCGTTTCAGTACGCTCACGTGGTAGGGTACCAGAAGAAACCCGATTACCAAACTGACCCCTTCCAATTGGCCCCGATGAAGGGTACTGCACTTTCATTGAAGCTGCACTGGGCAGTGTCTGACCCTGTTAAGAACAACAGAGGAAAGCATTCACAAGAACATTTCAGAAAAGAATAATTTTGTAAGCACTACAATTCCCGCTCAGAATTCGTAACTTACAGACTTATGCTTCTTTCCCTTGGTTCCCAAAATAGGCCCCCGTTTTGCAGCTGATGAAGATGGCTGATTT